ATGAGAAGGCTGGTAGGAGCTCCTAGAAAGAAGAGGAGAGAAAGAAGAGGAAGAATCTGAAGGGAAAACAAAGACCCTGAGAAACTACAGATTAGAAATTACTATTATCAGAAATTTTAACTCACTGGTACCCAGTGGCTTTAGGCAATGCTTGTAGCATTACTTCTGCTTCCCACTCAGATGTGCCCCCCCCCACCAACTATATCTCAATACAGTATACAGCTCCAGCATTCACATACAAAACCAGTTAATTTTCCTTTGCCCAGTCTCTACTCAGTGAGGAGACACCATGTCCACTCATCTCTTCTATAATTCCTGTGCAGGTGCAGGTAGGGTAGAGCACAGGCACCTTTACTTTAAAGTGGCGAACTTGGTTCCATTCTAATTGGGAAAACTGGTGGCAAGACCAAAAAAGCTCAGATTGGAGAGGCAAAAATCTACCCTGAAGCAAGGTTTTATTTGTTAATCCATAATAGCCAATGCTGCTGCATTTGCTACTGCTGCTCCAGCCTCTATGGCATTGGCTAAGAAGAAAGGGAAAGTGGCAGGAGGATCCAAATCCTGCAAGCCCCCAGCGCCCAGTGGGGCTGATTACAAGGCAATGACTGCACTTAAGAAGCACAGAAGTATTTTCTCTCACCACTCTGAAAGGGCAGTGAAGTCTATGCAGTACAGAAGGACAAGAGCTGCACCAGGCTGGGGCTAAGGAGACTGGACAAGGGCAGCAAAAGAGGACTTTGTACTTTTAGCTCCTTTAAACTCAACAACTAGCCAAGAGAAAGGTACCAAGCAGGCAGCAAAGGCCAAGAACCATCTGACCCTTGACTGGCACTGCCAAGAAGCCCAGATTAGCTGTGCCTGTGAAGGAACTCCCAAAGAAAGGCCTGAAAATGGCAGCCAACATGGCCAAGAAAGCAATCAAGAGCTGACAGAATATGAAAGCTGACAGACCAAAGAAGGCAAAGACCCAGCTAAGGGCAAAACAGTCAATCCCAAGGCTACAAAACCCAAGGCAGGGAAACCAAGTGGCCTCAGGCTGAAAAGGCAGTACACAAGAAGTAGTAGATGCTGTATGAACCAAGGGTTCAGGGCCACAGAATGTAAATTGATTTTCATAATGTTTTCATTTTTTTAACAGTTACCCCAAGTGAAACTAATGTAAAATTTCTTGTTTTGCAGCAAAACTCAGACTTTGTATGAATTACATGTTTTTCTCTTCCTCTTTTCTTCAGTTCCTTGTGACAGTATTGTAGAGGATGGAGGCAGAGCCTGCTCAGAGATGCACAGCAAAAAGAACAGAGGCAACATATGAAAGCTGCAAGAAAGGAATTTCTGATGTGACATCAGAAAAATACTCTCCATCTTAAGTGTAGTGTAGCACAGGAACAGGTTGTGGATTCTCCATCCTTGCTGACTTTTTAAAAATTCAGCTGGACAAGGCTCTGAGCAATCTAATTAGCCTTGAAGTAAGTTCTGCTAGCTGATTTTCAATGCAATTTTATCTATTATCTTAACTGGAAAGATATACTATGTCAATAAGGACATTTCTTTTTTAAAAATGCACAACTTCATGTACATTTGTTACATTAAAGCAGCTGAGTTCTCACATTACTTATTATTTAGACACAGTGAACCACATATTTATTACATCTTTGTGTTAATGAGTAATTTGGGACAAATTGTATTTGTATGGAAATTGCAGTTTTAGTAAAATGCCCAAAACAACATTCTGAAAGAGCATTTATTACTTTGCTCTGCTGATTACTTTCACAATTCAGGATTTTTATATATTTCAACCTAGTAGCAACAAGTACCTGCAGCTTGCATTTTAACTGATACATTAATGAAAACATTTTTATTTGAAAAAATAATTTACATTAATAGTAAAACTAGACATTCAAATTAATTCATGATGCTTCAAACACCTTTTTAATAGAATTTTTTTAATGGACTAAAATCCAGCTCTTTATTTTGTGGGGGTTTATTCTAGCTTGCTACATTACAAGGGCAAGGAAGCAGAGAAAACAGTATGCTGAATATCAGAGAGCAGGAGGTGAAGAGGAGATAAAGAAATGGAATTCAGACAAATGCACACTGTCAAACAGTGTGTGTGCTTTTTGTTAAGGATGTTTCACACCAGATCCTTGAGATTACTTGCAACTTGGGAGTCTATGATTCTGTGATTGAATGTCAGACCATATGGTGCCAGCAGGAAATGTTATGGGATCATGAACCTTTAAAATCTTCTTTTTAAAAAAAAAGCAAACACAAGCAAACCCAGAACAGCCCAACTTTCTGTTTGTTTGTAGAGGTGCTCTTTTTGGATGGGTTGCAAGCACCACTCTTCTCTGAGAAGGACAAGCCCACACCCAGGCAGCCATCTACCCTTGAGGGATCCCTCCAAGCTGAGAAGCCCAGTGATAACAGATCTTGTTCATACTGCAGGTTCTTGTGGACAAGATCCAGGCAACACAGAGCTTCCAGGTGACATGGCAGTGGCTTCCAACAGCCTTCCTGTGTTTTCCCACAGCACTCTCTTTCGTCCTTACCTGGTTTCTGCCACCTCAAGATGTGCAGTTGCTGTTCCCATAGTGCACAAGTTGACCTGGGGTGCAATCCTGCCCTCCCTGCTCTGACTGGCATGTCTTTCCCTTTAGATAATCCTGATTTGGCAGCTGAGGGAGCTACAGTGCGTGGGAGCCGGAGGGGAAGAGCAGCAGAGGACTGGGCTAGCAGGGAGCAAAAAGGTCCAAATGACACATTTGGGCTGGAGTCAAGTCTGCCCACAAACACAGCCAGAGACAAATAATAAACCCAAATACATGAGAGTTGCCAAGAATAATGGGAAATAAATTGTCTTTTAATATTTTTAATGGTGTTATATGGACTCTAGCATTGAAACTGTTCTCCTGGAGAGGAGTACCTCTTCCTGTCCCTGCTGAAAGCAAGCAACAGAAAGGCTTCTAACAATTCCCCAAACTCTATGAATGTTAAATTTTTATATACTGTACAGTAGCTATGTTATACAGGTATATATCTGTATCGGCTTACATTCAACTCTAAATACAGAGTAGCAATTTGGCCTAGTCCAATTTGCAAGAGCTCCCTCTGACATCTCATCTCTAGCCTACCTTCCTCCACACAGGCAAATTCCACAGGTGTCTCAGCATAGAGGTTAGTGGCTTGAATGTCTTTGAGATCAACCTCTCAGTGCCCTCCTCTCTACAAAAACATGTATGTTCTCAGTGCAGAGAAATTCCTCCTCCAAGCTCTGGTCTCATGAGGCCTCAAGAGGAGCATCATCCTCTGTAGCGGCGCGATGCCCTCATGCATAGGATGAAATTCCAGTCACCATATAACTTGGAATTCTTTTTTCTGTATATTGGATTAATATAAAGATATGTAGCCCATCTATGGTCAATTTTTGACCTTATGGAACAAATCTGTGTCTGCACAGGGTGCCTTCCCCTACACAGAGAACGTAACCAGCTTCTCACTGCGTGCAGCAGGAACCCAAGTCCCAGGGAGAGGCTCTTGGCTTCTGCCTCCACACAGCAATCTGTCCCCTACACTGCATTACCCTGTCTCTGTGCAGCAGCCCACTGCTCCTGCAGGGCTGAATGGGACTCAGTTCAGCAGCAGAGTGTCTTATGTGACTGGGATGAATGCCTTCTCTAGCAAACAGGCTTTCTGTTAGTTGGGAATAATGCTCAGAGAATCTAGAAACAGGGTCTTGCTGATCTGCTACAGTGAGCTCAGCTGGTCAGCTCTGGTACTCCACAGTCATGTCATGAGACATTACACAGAGTGATTAATACACTTCAGACAGCTCTTCCCCACTTACCCTACTCAGTCTCATACTGAAAACTGCTCATAAACCTGTAAATGTTCCCCATATATCTGGAAAACAAAGTTCTCAAGCAGACCACATGTCCAGCACTACCACAGTGAATTATTTTCCCAAAGCTGGTCTGCCTCTGTGAACTCTTATACCTGGAGACAGGCTTATCAGCTCACCAGTGCCTGGCTCTGTGCAGGTCAACACAGCCACAGAACCTGAAGAGATCCCAGACAATGGTTCTTCTTCCACATCCCATTCTAATTTGGGACTCCCTTCTGCTTTGTGAAGGAGCTCCACAGTCAGTAGGTAGGAACTCAAGCGGAGATACTAAAAGCAGGCTCAGCAACTGGACAGTGTGGAGGTAGCCAGACCAAGACAAGTCACCAGAACAAGTTGATTCAATGCAAGTTCCCATTATTGTGGGGACACGCAAGTTCTTTGTGGACTCTCTTGGGCTTAGGAAGAGGGGCAGCCATACTTACTGCTCCCTGAAACTTGCCTGGAATGGGCATCAAGAGAGTTCTTCAATGAGAAGGGACAGAATGGGAGAGAGCAGAGGAGGAAGAGGAAGGGGCAGCACTCTATTCCAACATAATCTTATTGTGAAAAATACAATGCCATACTAAATCCAGAATTCTTCCTTTCAGGAGCAGTTGTATGTGAGGGAGGCAATGGGCTTGAGAGGCAGAACTTCCCAGAGGTAGTTATAAATGATCTGCTGCCATGCAGGAGCGATGAGGTTTGCCTTGGGTTGAGGACAGCTCATCTTTCTGTTCTGTCTCTTCTCTGAAGCCAGCAGACAAAGGAGGAGGCTGTGCTATCACACAGTGGTTCAGAAGGACCGGAGAGGCTCAGGCTGATTAACCATATCTGAACTCATACTGATGCCACCCAAGAAACCTAGGCCAGAGTCCTGTGGCATAAAGGTTTGCACTTCTCCACAAGACACAGATTAGGGCATCTGTACCATTGCAGAGGACTACAACCTGTGCCCAGATACCTCTCTGCAGGGGCAAAACAAGAGAAGGTGCAGCACATTTATAAGGACCTCTAGGAAATGAGCAGTTCATGGCCTGCCAAACAGAGTTTGAGAGAAAAGAGGGCAGCATCCCTCAGCAACAGATTTAGAAGATGACAAGAGCTGTCATGACAGACTAGTAGAGAGGGGACTCTGTGTTCTGCAGCAACTGAAGAAGAGGGTGTGGGGGAAGGCAGAGAAGCAAATAAATGGTGGCAAAATAACAAATGAGGACTTGTCTTGGGTTGTAGGTAGTGGATGATGATGTCTCTCCTCACCCTTTTTCTTCCTCACTGCTGGTAGCTCACAGAGCATCAGGCTGCCTGTGCTGCTGCTCCAGGAGTTGTCTGCAAGGGAGATGCAGGGGTGGCCCAGATCGGCGAAGACGTCGAGAAGGAAGGCCAGCCAGCTGACGGCAGATCTCATCTGAAGACACAGCAGGCACACACAGGTTGACAGGTAATTAAAGTTTCCTTCAAAGTCTTTACCACCAGAATAGCTAGAGTTACATCCTTCACTGCACCTACAGAAACTGTTGGAGCTGCTGAATCCTCATGTACATGAGGCAAGTGAACAAGTCCTTAGGCTTTTATTAATTTCCTTCTGGCTGTGATTTATTAAAATCACTTGTGTTTTGCTGCAACAAAAACAACATAAGAAATCTAGACTGGATCCTGTTTCTGTTCACGAATAGAAATACTGAGAGTTACTCTTTAACCTCAAAGGAATGCAACTTTGAGTAAGGGTGTGCCTGGGGCTAGCAGAGCGCGATCAAGACCGAGGAAGGCAGACCTCTCATACTTCTTGGTATCATGGCATCTATCTCCCTGTGTTTTCCATGGCACGTACACTGGAGGCAAGGCTGCGTTGCGTTACAGCTCCCCCAAACCAAGTCCAAAGTAACGACTGCATATGGATTGGGTTTGGCTCATTAGTTAGCTTTGAGACTCTGTCAGTTGGCTGCAGCTATTCCTGTAGGCTGGCTTGTGCTGTCACTCACCTTGCATGACCTCGTTCTCCTTGCAGACGATGCGAGAACACACCTCCTTGTTTATGATGTACATGCGACGAACACTGAGGGGTCCCCAAGAACATGCCCAGGTCAGCAGCAAAAGGCACAAGTACCCAAAGAAACAAAAAAGGGATACAGGCAATAAACTGATGAGGAGGCAAATCCTAATTTTTTAGGCTTAGTTAATCTAGAATACGGCTGTTGCCAATGGGAAAGCAATCTTTGTCAAGACTTCATAAAATGGCCAAATACCTCAAAATACTGATTACAAAACAGGGCACATGACTGCTATTGTGCTGTTTTAATTTATCACCCTAAAAGGACACTCTGAGGATAGAAGTAATCTTACCCATCGGTTCACTGAGGGAACCTCTAGTCTTCAAAGAAAACAATTGCTGAACTGGACCTACTGTTTCTGGAGAGATCTTAGGGCTTTTCATAGGGACTGCTGGTTTCTTACCTTGTAACACAGAGGTAGCTGATACACTGCTTGACTGGTTTGTGAACAGAGTACAGGCGTGTGCAAGGAAACTTTTCTTCACGACAATCTGAGAAAACACACACACACCAGAGGTGTAATCCCGCAGCATTGGCAGATGCTCTCCATCTGGCATACGTGTCACCACATCACTGTCCTGCAGGCTCCTAGGGAAGGCTCCCAGCCTCTATTTTCCACTCTCTTGCAACAGATGGGGATGGTTTAGAGAAGAGGAAAACAAGGCAGACATTTCTGATCCCCCTGCCTCCTGAGACAAAAGTAAGGGAAAGCCAAGCCAATTGCAGAACAAGGCAAGTGGGAATCCTCAGTACAGAAGCCACATGCTGTGAGGGGCTAGGACACAAATTGTTCATTTTGTTTAAAATGTCAATTGTAGTTGCACATTCAGTTGCACATTTTAGCTTGAAGAAGAGGAGGCTGAGGGGAGACCTCGTTGCTGTCTACAGCTACCTGAAAGGAGGTTGTAGGGAGGTGGGAGTTGGGCTCTTCTCCCAAGTGAATAATGACAGGACGAGAGGAAATGGCCTGAAGCTGCACCTGGGGAGGTTTAGACTGGATATCAGAAAGAATTTCTTTGCTGAAAGAGTGGTTGGACAGTGGAACAGGCTGCCCAGGGAGGTGGTGGAGTCACCATCCGTGGAAGTATTTGAAAGAAATGTAGATATAGTGCTTAGTGACATGATTTAAGCACTGAACAGGTAAATCAGGTTATGGTAGGAGGATTTAAGTTATGGTTGGACTTGATGATCTTCAAGGTCCCTTCCAACCAGGATGATTCTATGATTTAAAACATGTATTTCTAATAGATCTGCAATCTCACACTTCAGGACACGAATCTGGTTCCTTTCTTTACTAGACAATCAACACCACAGCTAACTGTGATGGGTTTTCTTGCATTTCCTTCTGAAATGCCAGGTCTTGGCCACCAACAACATAATATTGACCCAGTGTATCTGGTCTGGTGATCTGCCTGTTCCTTCTCTCCCAAGCATGCCACCCAGGGGAAGACTTCAGCTGCCACTTCTGTCTTCCTCCAGTACTTCTAACTCAAGGAACAGGTGAAGGGAATTTTTCAGGAATCTGTGCTCAGCGCTCAGCCAGCATCTGCCTGAAGAGGTAACAGTGTGGCTGAAAATAGGTCTGGGAGGGGATGCAGGCAGCAAACTTAAATGTACCTGATGAAGCTGTTGTAGTTTCGCTGTCAGACTGAACTGGAAGACAGAGGGTTGCAAAGTTAGTGTGATTTACCATGATCGCTTCCTAGACATCAGCTTATTCAAAACAAATAACTGGAGTGTTCTTTCAAGAGCCCTCCATTGTAACTTCTAATGTGGAAAAAGATTTCATTGTTACTGACACAAAACTGTAAGAGACAGTACAAATCCAGTATGAATCTGGTACCAGCTACACAGCCAACAATGCTAAAAATCTGTCCAAGCTTTACTATGAAGCATTACCACTACTGTTTAAACTTACACTGTCAAGGCCTCTTGTCTTATAATTCAAAAGGTCAGGTAAATGCATTTAATTGCTGCAACTGCCATCAGTCTAGGCAAGAAGCAAAGGAGCCTGTGACTGCTTCTTTTTAAGGAACAGTGAGTGACTCTTTTAAGAAACAGTACGCCCAGACTGCTGGTCATGAACCCCTAGTACATGACAAGAGGTCAAAAGGTGGTTGGTTTCTTGTTCCCTCTGATAAATCAACCCAAATACATAATTTCACTATTTACCCAGTGACAAACTGGAAAGGAATTTGGAGGCCTGACTGTCACACACAAGTTTTCATCAGCAGCTATAGAGGGCTTCTATTCTTCGTGTTCACGTGCCTTAGAGTCAGCCAGAAGCACAGGCAAAACAGACAGGCACAGAGAGGGGTCTTTTGGGCATTGGTGCCCTGGTTAGGGGCAGTCAGGGAAGACAAAATTCTGGGTGTGCAAGGGACTGGGCAAGGAGAGGGAAGAGGGGTCCACAACATTTGGCTTTGAACTGAGAAGAAACTCACCAGGACTAAGAAGCACAGGTGGTGTGACAGCTGCAGCTGGAAAAAAAGAAGATGTTTGGATAGCTCTTCATTGCTGATTGCTGACCACTCCTGACTAGTAGCCATCCCACATCTGGTTCATAAACAATGCCAATCATGATGTTATCTGACTTGTCAGAGTAACTGCAGGCTTTCCCTGCAAATATGCTGGGTGTCCCAGAGCTGATGGGATGGTTCCCACGCCATGTCTTTTGCAAATAGTTTCTTCTTAATGCATCAACAATAAGCATTTTCAAGCCCAAGTCTACTGTAAAGGCTTCATATTTAGTCTTTTCAGTTTTAGATGTAGGTTAGCCATTGTCAGTCTGGTCTGCACAGCAAATCTTATCTACCCTCCTACAGACTGTCAGGTCTCATACACTGACCTCAAGACTGACAGAGGTTGCTTTCACCTCCCATCCCCCCACCAGAGGATCATGCACCTTGTGTACACAATATTGTGCACACTTTTCTCCTCCATTGTTGTCCCATGACAGCTGGTCAGCTTGACCCACGATACTCCAGCCAGCTGATGAGCAGAGTCACAGGGCAGAGAAGAGACCATGGAACTAGTGTCCTAGAGAAGGATGAGCTCTCAGATGAGCTCTCCTACACACACAGCACACTTCCAAGCAACAGTCAAGCACAGCTGCTTCCTCTTTGTCTTTTGAACCATATCATCAACCAGATGTATTCTCCCTCTTCCTGCCCTGCCTGGTTCTCCCCCACCTCAGAGTGGATGTGTTTGAGAAACTGCACCAGCAGAGAGAGAAACCATGGCTGAGGCCAGTGATGCTGGATTCAAAACAGGGCTCCTATGGAAAAAGTGGGGAGGATCCTCTTTGAGGCTCTGGCTCTCTCCTCCATTCCTCACCCTGAGTCCAGCAGGATTAGACTACCTCACATGCACTCTGCTGCCTCCACAGCAAGGTTTTGCTCTCCAAAGAAGCACACTGCATGCTACAACTGATCACCTTCAAATGTCCACCACCTACCCTACATTTAACGTACATTTTCTAGCCCCTAGTGACATAGCTGCAGGCACAGCAGGGAAGCCAGCACTTAAATATCAGTATTTCCACCTCTCCATCCCACCACTGCTCAGGGGTTGCTCTATTACTGTCTTTCAGGGGGGGTTTTGCTACCTCTGCTGCCTGAGCATTCAAGCATGACTGCCAGATGCCAGCACACAGGGACACAATCTCAGTCCAAGTGCTGCCCAGTTAACTGGTGAACCCAACCAATTTCTCTCCCTTGGCATTTCATCTCTTTCTCCTTGCAAACTTTACTGGAAGCCCAGGCGACGTGAGCTTTGGATTTCGTGGCTTCCTGCAGTGCAAGCAGCTTCAGAGAGCCCTGGCACACCAGGTGAGATTGGCATTTCCTTGGAGAACATGCCACCCCAAATCAATGTCTGAGCTGCACAGGCTGCAGAAAAGACTTTCAGATAAGCTGAAATGCTGTAAGAGCATTGTTGGGTGCCAAAAGTGGGGAAGGGGAGTTTATGAGCGTGATGGATAATTGCTGGGGCTGTGCAGGCAGGTGTGAAGGTGAAAAGGGGAAAAGTAGCCTGAAGTTACCATGAGATAGAAGCTTACCTGGGGTGTTGACAAGAGAGTCAGTGCTAACTTCACCTGGAAAAGAGAGAGCTTGTCTTCACTTTGTGATCCCTTACACAGCTAGCCATAGCCAGCTTGAACTACCTTGGCCACCATGGTAGCCTTACTGCAGAACGGGATTCAATCCAGTAAATACATGAACAAACACAGTTACCCTATGCCACCCATACCCATACCCCTTTTTAGTGACTGGCCTGGGACTGGGCTTCTTGGTACACATACTACATCAGCCCTTACTAAGCCCTGGATTCATATTCTGACTTCTCAAATATGTAAGCATCTCAATGGGAAAGAAAGATGTCTGCAATGAAGGTGCTGATGGCTCCCACAGGAGGAGGACAGATAGATGAGGAGAAGGAGGAGAAGGAGGTAGGCAACTCCAAAACCTAACCTTGACTGCAGGAATTAATCAACAGACTATTTTCTTTAAAAGTCAACTGATGGCAAAGCTGGGGTAGGTGTGATGGAGGGATAAAGTCTGAAGGGAAGCTTGATGGACTCATATTGGGCTGGCCTGTGAAAAGTTTTCTGGGATGGCCCAGGTATTGCCCATGACAGGATCACAGCTGGGAGATGTCTGATGGCTCAGCTAGGGGCTACAGTCCAAGAAGAAGCAGACCTTTGTGGTTCTTCTTGGTGCTGAATCATGATGCAAAAGTGTTCATTCATATCATGTCACAGAAATGGAAAAAAGTTCCAGGGGGATAAAGCAATTCACCCTCAACAACACAGTCAGTATGAATACCTGTCAATATCCTTTCTCAGTGGCCTCACTGCTAAAGCACCATGCCATTCGTGCACCTTTTTTCTTGGGATTTTTCCTAAGCAGTGGCAGAGTTCCCAGAGCATCTAATGGCTGAAGAGTTATCAGCTCTCCTGGATCTCCCCCAGCTCTTGACTGTGAACATAACTTGATGAGCTTCAGCTAAGTGTTCAGGACCTCAGCACTACTGCATTATTTGTAATGAACACACAACACTTAGCAGATTATCTTGGAGGGCTTGTTTAATCTTCACATGCTCACAGTGTTAGAGACAGGGAAACAAAGAACAGCATTTGTAATTAAACAGGCTGTAACTATGCAGAACAACTGGGTCACATGAACAGCCTTTAGCACATAACATGTCTGTAATACTTACCAGTTGCACTTTCCAGGTCTTGCCCATTGACCACCCAAGGAAACCAGTCTGCCAAAGAAAAGAGAAGAGTGAAGAAAGGACAGACAGAAGCATTCCTATAGCATGCGGGCTTTGTGAAATTTTTATGATATCCTTATCCGTTCAGGAGACACCACTGCCCTCTGTTGAAAGGAGAAACGCTCTCCTCTGTGCCTCAGCCTCCATTGCTGCCTGGGTTTGTTCTTTAAAGACTTGCGCATACAGCAGCTCCTGATGCTGTCCCAGCTGCTACCACCAGGGTCAAAGGCTAGGCACAGAAACAAAACAGTAAATACCTCCAGATCTACTGCTGGACTTTGCATTTCTGAAACCCCGTTTGATGCATTTAAAAACAAATTGCATGTTGCCTCCCTGGTCTGGAGGTTGGTCAAAATCCCTGCCTTTGTTTTATAAAAGAAGAAGATGAGTCACGGTGATTATTTGCTTGGGGTCACAGATTGAGTAACTGGCACAGTAAGAAACAGATTGAAGATCTTGTAGGTTACTATTATCTGGTCCATCATCCTGCCTGGGTACAGAGCACAGAGCTGAAGACCTTTCCTCTCTCAGCCCTGGTGACACTGTAGAAAGGAGAACGATGAAGACTTGGCTGTACATGCTATGTGGGAGAGAAGAAACTGCAACTGAGCTAGAGTGTTCATTTGTCCAAATATAAAGGGGGAGAGAGCTGCTTCCTACAGCAGACAGGAATAGGAAAATATTTCCTGCTAGCCACAACGGAGGGAAATGTCTGCACAACTGGGGTGGAATGAAGGAAGGAGTTGGCAGGAAAAACCCAGTGATCTGGGGCATTGCAGGAATGTGTGTAGGACCAGCCCAAAAAAACAGTACACCCTGCTATGTCTTATGAACTCAGCCTTAGCTTTCTCTTAGTGGGAGCACTATGTGGGTAAAAACTATCAAGTCTGGAGCTTTTGTCTTCATTCTTCCTCATTCCAAGAGCACTTACGTGCTGGCTTCAGAAAGACTCTTGGGACCTGCTGCTCTGCAGCATCACAGGAGTTGCTGGACCTTGCTATTACCCTCCCCACCCAGCTGCCAGCAAGGGCTCAGCTGCTGGTGACTGATCCAGGGAGAGCCAGACATGTAAAATTACTTAAGTGCATGATGTAGTACCACCCAAAACCTCCCCTGTTCTGGTTAATCCCTTAACTGTAACAAGTAGAGAAGAAAAATGATACCGAGCACTTTCGAATTTGTTTCTGATAGAAAAGGCAAAACACAAATTCTGAAAGCATTTCATATTTGAAACATATGAAAAAAGGGGGGCAGCTCCCCTCCTTTTTTCTAACACTGGTAAGTCAGCTTTCACTAGCTTTTTTTTTTTTTCTCCCCTCCTTATTAGATAACTAGAAAACCCCAAACCAGAGAAGCTAAAATAAAATACACAGAAGTAAGAAATACTCCTTTCAGACCTCCTTCATGCATTATAAAAATCACAGCATTTTGTTTCTGCCTCTAACTTTGCAGATCACCTACAAGATCATCTCTTGGATGCCTCACATCCCTGCTTCACAGTCATACACATGTGCACCTCTACAGGAAAAAGTGCTATTGGAGCAGAATAAGGTTTCAGCATGGGGGTAGGATCAAGGAGAGCAGTTTGGAATTACCTGATCTGAATGGGATAGGTTCAGTCATCTGTCTCCTACATACAGTTTTGCTGGGCAAAGCTCTTTCTGTTCACTGAAATGAATCTTCTGTCTGTCTTGTGTTTTCTGATGATGAGGTCTGACACAACCCTTGTTTTGGTTTTTGTGTGTGTGTGTTTTGTGGGTTTTTTAAACAAATTTGATCCTACCTGAAATTTTGCCAAAGTAACTCCAAGTAAACAAAGAAGTGGAGCAGCAGAAAAGAGCAACAACAACAAAAGCAGAGAGTGGTTGGAACTACACAGGTTAGGTTTCTCAAAACAGCTACACTTTGTACAAACCACAAAACCTCCCAGCAGCGAAATGGCCTGGAATAGGGCAATTCCAGCAGGAACCACTACAGATAGGAAATGATCTGTGGAGCACTGGGCAACGCTCTGCAGATCAAGCAAACACATGTGGTACAGCAGGGTGTATTAAGCACAAAGCACAGCTAGCCCTCTTTCTACGCTCGACCTGGCTGTTTTGCTCACCCAAACATCCCTGCAGTGGAGGCTGTGGACCTCTGTCTCTTGAGACTCCCAGTACTTACTGAAGAGTGAGCACATATGGGAAGGGAATAGTCCCCAGTTCCTTCTTTTTCCCTTACAACCCTATATCCACTTTGCCTTTCCTCTTCCGTCCTTCCCCCTCCACTATTCATCTACATGTATCTGTCTTTCTCCTTAGGCCATTGTACATTAGCCTGTGTACGAAGCACCATGGAGCCAGGGTGGAGAAGAAGTCCTCCCCTTGGCATAAGAACTCACCAGCTGGGGACAGGGAGAGTGCTAAGAGACACAGCAGTATACAAGCTCCAGAGGTCTTCATCCCTGAGGAGTGGAGGAGACAGGAGTCAGAGGAAAGCTAAGGAGCAGGGATACCCACCCCTGTAGCACAGACACCTTTTACTTGCTGCCTCTGTTTTCCGTTCAAGACTATTTGATCCACCCAGTCTCCCTCCCACCTGTCTCCCTGGCCAGTTTTCCAGGTGTTTCTGAAACATTTTGAACCGAACATCTCAACATCTGCTTTCCTTCTCCCTCCACCTCCTTTCTCCAGCCTCCATCTCTTCTATCATCCAGGTGGCTACACCCCCCTTCACACACACCTCCCAGCATGCAAAGAAAAGTTTCCCCTTGTTATCTTCATCCACTCTTCTCCACTTCCAAACTCTCTTGAGGAGCACTGAGAAAAGATAGGGTCCCCACCACTTACTGCAGCCCTTGGTCTCCGCTCCCTTCAGCAGCAGATGCTTTGTCTTTCCCCTGAAGCAATCCCCCCCAGTTTGGCTATTGGGTAAATCACATGCAGCCACACCCAGAACACGTTCTACTTCTGCTTGTCTTCAAAATACTAGTTTTTTAGGGGAAAAAAAAAAAAAAAAAGAAAAAAAAGGGAAAAGGAGAAGCCAGCGAGATGGTGAGCCGTGGTGTCATCATGCATCTGGAATGAGGGGGGAAGTGAGGAGCATCAGCCCACACCCTCATTCCAGAGTTTATTATGCTCCGGAGGGAGCCCGCTCCTCCCATTCCCCCAGGATGGCCCAGCACCAGGGACGGACGCTCGTTTCTCAGCTACACACTCGTGTCCCGGTTCGTCCTGCCCCTCCCACGCGGACCCTTCTTCTTTTTACGCCACCCCATCTGGCCTGGTTTCCCCTCAGCCGCCCCTTCCCACCCCAGCCCTTCGGTCTGCCTGCTGTTTCCCTGCCCGCCCCGCACGGGCTCCGCAGAGCCGGCACTCCTGTCTCTCCACCGGGCACTCCCCGCCCCGACGGTGCCCCCGGCCCGTCCCGCTGCGGGCACACGGGTCTGCCCCGCATGCGGTGCGGGGAGAAGGGGGCCCGGTGTGCGGCGTCCGGGATATCCCCACCCGCCCGGGTGCGGGGGAGCCCGTCGGGTGGGTGGCAGCACCGGGGACATCAGGGCGCTGGGAGCGCGGGGCTCGGGGCGGTACCTCCCGGGGGGACGGGGCTGGGTGGGATGCGGGTGGGATGAGGGTGAGGATTGGTTGGGGATAGGAGTAGGGCTAGGGCTGCGAATGGAATGGGATTGGGTAGGGGATGGGGATAAGATGCGATGGGGGTGTGGATGGGATGGAGGTGGGCACTGGATGGGCGTGGGGATGGAGATAGGACTAAGATGGGGATGGAGATAGGACTAAGATGGGGATGGAGATAGGACTAAGATGGGGATGGAGATAGGACTAAGATGGGGATGGAGATAGGACTAAGATGAGGATGGAGATAGGACTAAGATGGGGATGGAGATAGGACTAAGATGAGGATGGAGATAGGACTAAGATGGGGATGGAGATAGGACTAAGATGAGGATGGAGATAGGACTAAGATGGGGATGGAGATAGGACTAAGATGGGGATGGAGATAGGACTAAGATGGGGATGGAGATAGGACTAAGATGAGGATGGGGTGTTGCTCAACTCAGGACCGGGCTTGTGTGCAGGAAAGACCGGGAACAGCCACTGCCATTCTGGGCAGTCTGTGTAAGGTGAGGAACAGGGAAAATGTGTGCAGGGTAGGGGAAAGAAAAAAAAAAAAAAAGGCAGGAAAATGGGAGAGACATATACTGAAAGCGGATGAATGAGATCTGCCCCTCACTGTGCCACCCTTCAGACTACCTTGTGCTGCTTTGCCTCCAGGCATGATGTTTTATGAATCAGCCCCACTGGAATAGCTGCTCTCCCCTAACCCTTCCTCCAACAGCCTCACGATGCCCTGCCTCCTGCTGCTTTCTCAGAGACTTTCTCTTCCCTTTGCTGCTCCTGGAATTACTCCTCTGGGTCTGAGGAAGCACTGGCTGGATGGTGCCCTATGTATGAGCTTCAAGGCACAATCTCAGTCCTGAAGCCAAGGATGTTGAAGGAGAAAGCTAGGAAATTACAAAGCAATGAAAGAGAACCTCGTAGGGGAAAGCTGTGTCCCCTAAGGCTTAATCCTAGTGGCTAGGTCCTTGGTTCTCAACAAATTGCAGGCTAGGAATAAAACTCTGTCATACCTTGTACACAGTCACTAATTAAATCCTCAGGATGTTCTCACTGCCCCAAGAGGCCCAGAAGAGTGTTACCCACATGTGACTCCCTGAAGCCACAACTTCCTACCTAACAGTGGCTGAGCATGGGTTGTGGCAATGCTCCAGGGAAAAGAAAGAATAACTGCTCCTTCGTATTTCTGGCCCTCCTGGGACTTGTGAGGGAAACACGTGTGCTGGAAGTACCAGAAGAGGGGACAGGGAAACCTAGGCCTTTCTCTGCTCACCTGGGCAGCCTTTTGGACCAAAGCACGATGCCTCGATTTCACTGAGACATCACCATTCCCACTTTCAGAGAGACACTGGTTAACACTCAGTCTACCAAAAAACCATCAAAAGGTGGTTATGCAACCAAAAGAAAGTGATGGAAGATATAGCCACACTCCTGTTTGAGGAATCCTCTCAGGCTTTTTCAGGAAGTCCACGTAGCTGCATGTTTGGATCACAGGTTTCCACACTGTTTGGTTAATTTTTTGTTTTTCTTTGTTCCTTTCTGTTGTCATTTAAGCCCCTGTTACTGCTTAGCTGAATAGCTAAAATATCTTTAAGGCCTTTTGAATTATGAACACGTTTATTTGGAAACTTTCATTGATGCTGTATGTTTTGGTTTAGCAATGTACTGATGTATCACTATGTCCCACAGAGTGCAGGATTCTCCTCTAGTCCTGAGAAAGGCTTCTTCTGATTGCTTTTGGGCTTTGTATTCTTTTTTTTTCAAACTGGAAGGCTGGGTCCTCCCCTAGCTGCTCAGTACAGGCAGACCACTTGTGTTAGCAGCACTCCTGGGTTCGGAGAGCTTGGAGCAGGTACAAGAATTCTCTTGGCCATGGAATCGCTGGCTGGGAAGCAGCTCAGCATTTTAACTACCAGGCAAACTGCCGTGGAATGACTGGTCGTGCTCGCTGGGAACGCCGGAGGGAGCTGCAGCACACCGGCCTGCGAAGCCACATCTTGTTCTTCAAGAGCTCTGGCTCTGTGTCTGGAGGCCCCATCGGAAATGAAGCCTCTCTTCTAAGCTCTGCTGGCTCTACGGGCCCACAGCTATTTCACCGGTTTTGCGTTTGGGGATGGAAGAGAATCTTGTTATTTTTTTCCCCTATCCTTGCTTCATGACAGTGACCAAGACAGCTGGGCAGCCCTCATTTCTGGGAGATATTAATAACTAGCATATTTCTATGCCTTCCAGTCTCACCCACATCGCTGTCTTCTGCTTTGCATGCAGCCATCCCTCTTCAGCAGAGGCAACTTGGGAATATCTACAGCAGATGACTCAAGGTGAAGCACTCTTCTGTCTAAAATGTCAGGTGTGGGTGCCACAGTCTGGTGTGAAGGAGAACTGTGCCGCACTAAATAGCATTGGTGACTCATGAAGGTAACACGTGCACACAGATGTTCCCTTCAGCTGATCCCGCTCCCAGTAGGTGTTTACCTAAGATCAGAAGCAGTGACAGTGATTCAGCAAAAAGCTCTCCTCCAGGTTAGTACTGATCCCACTAAGTTACCAAGGATGCTGTAGTGAGGGTAGCATGGTATTTTGGATGAGACACAAAATCAGACTTCCTAGAAATTATAATCTCCTGGGGCATTTCACCCCAGAGATCACTGCATTTCAGAAGACAGGTAAGTAATTCTTGGGCATACTATTTATAAAAGTCTTGGAGAGGCATTTCAATGCCAGATTATATATTTCCCTATCTGTCTTTGTCTCCTTGGCCTTCACATATCCCCACAGTAACTGGGCATTAAGTTACATCTGAGTGATGAGAAATTAATGAACGGCTATAAGATGTTTCAGTATATCAGGTCAGTAATGCACCACTATTGGCCACGTGAATTTGGGCTGAAATGTAGTTTCTTGGGACCCACTTCTCAGTGCTGTTGGGCTCCATTAATAGCTGAGGTTCTGACCCTATCCTGCAGTTGTTCCACTAGTTCTGCTGAAGTTGTTAGTGACAAGGCCTGTTTCAAGTGTCAGATCAAGGCCTGTTTCATCTCTCCCCAGTTTTGGAAAGTTCATGTCTGACTTTGAAGAAGTGGAAATACTACAAAGTACAGGAGCTTGGGCATGATCCACCTCTTTTTGACTCTGCAAGAATAGGGAATTCTTCAGCCCAAATCAACAAAAGAGTGCTTAGAGAGCAGACAGTCTTCCAGTCACAAAAAAACCTATGGGAGTCCGTGAAACTAATTAATACATGCTCAGCTCCTTCCAACCAGTTCAACATTTGTGAATAACTGAGCATGAGAAGAGGCAAGCAGTGAGCTCTGTGCTATTTCATTGGTCATTTTGCCATGAGCTTCAGGGTTTTCATTGACAAGAAGCCTTCAGCGAGAAGTTGTCAGTAGCTTCCTTCTTCCCTTGCTGTGCTTACGGTTTCCTTCTCTGCTCTTTCTATAGATCCTACCATCACAAAAATCCTTCCTTTCTGGTCCCTTGTACTGACTCAGTGTCATGGTTTGGGCCCAACACAAAAAAGAAACAGCCCTATAGCTGCTCACTCAATTCTCCTGAGACACACACACATTTTGGGATGAGGAGGACAAAGCTCATGGGTTGAGACAAAGGACAAGCAGGGTCTTCACTGATTAAGGTCCTGGGCAAAACAGACTCAACTTGGGGAAAAACAGTAATTTAAGTTCACACTAATCAAACACAGGACATAGAAAACACCCAGAGCAGGGCTTGCAGATGTTACCCCACCCCTCCCTTCTTCCCGGGCCCCAATCCCTTGGTTCCCGGTTTCTCTCCCTCCTTCCCCCCAGCGGCACAGGGGGACAGGG